GAGCCCAGACCCGAGAGAGGTAGGAAGCTGTGTGCGGATTGCGTCCAGGGAGTGGGAGTGACGGAGTCTTCGCCAGTATGCGTGTGGGGTTCCGAGGGCGCTTTAGGCATCTGTGTGTGCCATCCAGCCTTAATGGCACTGAGGCTGAGTCGGGGGGTGACAGGGCTGCATATGGACACCCGCTGGCCCAGAGGCTCCAGGCAGGATTGGAGTGGCGCGAAGGCACCCAGGGCAGCGTTCTGTGTGCCATGCCGTGGCTCTGTCCCTGTGAATAGTCTGTCAGATTTGGGAGGGGAGTGCAGATGCCCTGACACCCCCCACACACACTTGCTGAGTTCCATCCCGGCCACACAGCTCTGAGCCCCTCAGAACGTGCATGCTCACAGGAGGCTGAAAGGGAAGAGTCAGCGGCCAGCAATGACCCCTTTAATATTTGAGACACTTCCTTATATGGAACCCACAGTTGTGAAGAGGAGTCTAACTGGCCCTGTCACCCACTCTAACTGGCCTGCTACACCTGCGGATACAATTCATGCACAGGGCCAGGGTCACGCATGTGGGGTCTAAACCCAGCTCTGCTTTACAAATTGGCCTCGGTGAGGTCATGTGATCTTCCTAGGCCTTAGTTCTTCAGTCACAAAACGCAGATAACACTTAGGGTTGAGGGTTAGTGTTAAATCTGACAGCACTGCATGGGCCGCAGGCCGTGGCAGGTGCTGTTTATACACTGAGGCTGTGGAAGAGGGGGATGAGGAGCTCAGGCTCTGGAGCCTGGCTGCCTGGGTCGAAATCCCAACTCTGTGACCAATGAGAAATCACTGTATTATGCTTGTGTGCACCTCGGCCTCCTTATCTGTAAGATGGCAATTATAACATAACAGCAAGCCTCAAGGCTGGTAGAGAGATAAGCTATAATGAGTGTTTCTTACAGCACAACACATAGTGGGAAGCAGAGTGATCGCCTCTTTGATTTTATCAGAATCCACAGTGCCCCAGGAGACTCCAGATGAGAGAACTGGGAGGCCCTCGGGTAAGTGCGTGCATAGGGAAGTGACCTTACAAGTCCCTGGGCCATCTGTATCACTGCCAGAGCTTCAGTCTGCTGCCTCCCTCTCTCAAGTAACACATTAATAAATGTCTTTCCCACTAACCTTTATCTGTGTTGCCGGGCCTCTGCAGGGGAAATTTTTGAAACACATCAAACATTGGCACAACAAGGTGTTTTTGTCCCCAGGCCAGGCCCTCTGGGGGACATCATAGGCTGTAGCTCTGCTCTCTGTTAACCTTCTGAGCTCAGCTCCTTCCATCCACACTTTAAGGACAGGCAAGGGCACTGGACATTGGACAAGCCTGTTTAGGAGAAAGGCGATATACCATAATTTTTTTAAATTTTAATTTTTTTGGGGGGTGTACTGGGGATCAAACTTGGATCCTTGTGGTTGCAAGGCAGGCATGGGAACCACTGAACTAAATCCCCAGCCCTTTTAAACAATTTTTTTTACTAGTACATATTTTGTTTGAGAAAGTGTCTCACTATGTAGTTCAGGCTTATCTTGAATTTACTGTATAGCCCAGGTTGGTCTCCAATTTAAGGAGATCCTCCTGCCTCAGCCTCCTAAGTGCTGATATTAGAGGCATGTGCCACCACACCTGGCTATTAGTACATATTTGCTATACATAATGATCATATTCATCATAGGACATCTGTATTTCTACATAATATATCTTAATTCTTTTTTTTCCCCATTCCCTTCCCTTCCCCTCCCTTCAACCCCTTTTCCCCTCCCAACTTACAAAGCTTTGGAAAAGTTCTTGTAGAATTCAGCAGTGAATCTGTTACAACCTGGACTTTTCTTTGTTGACACTTTCTTAAATTACTTCTTCAATTTCATTGATATTGAATTATTTAGAATTTTTATATCTTCTTGATTCAGCTTTGGTACTTCATATGTATTTAGGAATCTGTCCACTGCTTCTGAATTTTGCATCTTATTAGAATACAGATTCTCAAAGTAAAACACTGATGATCTTGTGGGTTTTGACAGGACCCATTGTGATTTTGCCTTTTTAATTCATAATTGCATGGATTTGAATCTTTTCTTTCCTCGTTTTGTTGGTTTTTATTTTATTGTACCAGGAATCCGACTCAGGACCTTCTGCTTGCCAGGCAGGTGTGGCACCACTGAGCTAAATCTTTTATTTAGTCTTTCAAAGAGCCAACACTTTATTCACTGATTCTTTGTTTTTTTGTTTGTTTGTTTTGTTTTTGTACCAGGGATTGAACTTGGGTCAGCGGAACCACCAAGCTAAATCCCCAGCCCCTTTGTATGGTTTTCTTGGTCTCAATCGCATTATTTTCTGCTCTGACCTTTATAATTTCCTTCCTCAAACAAGCTTTGGGTTTAACTTGCTCTATTTTTTCTAGAACTCTGAGGTTCAACTTTAGATTATTTATTTGAGCTCGCTCTGTTTTTCTGATGTGGAAATTCACTGCTACAAACTTCCCTCATAGAACTCCTTTCATTGCATCCCATAAGTTCTAGTATGTTATATTGGCATTATTAATTGTAGAAACTGTCTGTCTGATTTCTTCTTTAATTTCCTCTGTGACCCATTGGTTGTTCAGGAGGGTGTTATTTAGTTTCTGTGTGTTTATATAGTTTTTGTGGTTTCTTTTGCCATTTATTTCCAATTTCATTGTATTATGGTCTGATTATATGCATGGCATATTTTTTTATTTTTTTTTTATACATGGCATAATTTCACTCAAGAAGCTGAGGGCAAGAACTGAGAAATAATTTGCTTAAAGTCTCACAGCCACCAGTTAGAGGCAGAGGTTGGATTCAAGCCCCCATCCTGCAGGACTCTGAAGACCTCAGTTCTTTGCTACAAAGCCCAGTGGAGCTGTGTGGAACTACAGCAGGGCACTGAAGTTTAGTGTGTAAACATTCGAAATGGTAGTAAGAAAGAAAAAGAGATATGTAATTAAACCTTGGCGCTGTTTGGCACTTTGTGTGTGTGTGTGTGGGTGGGTGGCAGTCCTGGGAATGGAACCCAAGTCCTCATACATGCTAAACATGGGCTCTACCACCAAGCTACACCCCCAGTGTCCTCTTGGAATATTTTGCATATAGATGTGATTTGAGACCCCCTGGGATTGAACCCAGGGGTGCTCTACCATGGAGCTACATCCTCAGCTCTGTTTACCTCAATTTTAAGACAGGGTCTTAAACTCATTTGCTCGGGCTGACCACAAAGTTGTACTCCTCCTGCCTCAGTCTCCCAGGAGCTGGGATTATTACAAGGGTGTACCACTGCGGCCAGCTAGAGACGGGGCTCCTTGTTTTTCCAAATGGTTCACCAGTTATTCAAATACTTTCTTTATTGTGGAAATATGCAATAAATGTCCAATACACATGTTCCCAATGGTGAAAATCGTCTCTCCCACCCTGTCCCCCCATAATGTACTCTTCCTGGAGTCACCATCCTTAGTTGCTTACACATCTTTTAAGAAATGTCAAGTATGCATATATTTATTCACGTAAATAGTAGCAGTCAACCTGTGCAACCTCCTGTTTTTTCAGTGAACAGAGTGTCTTGGAGGACATTCCTCATCAGCACACACGGAACAGCCTCATTTTTAAAAAAGCCAGGCAGAGCCCTTCACTGTAGGAATAAGCAGCAGACCTCTATGAATGGATACTTATATTGTTTCCCACATTTTACTATTTTAACAGTGTGACAACAAAGAGCCTTTGGCATATGTCATTTTGAACATGGGCAAATGCACCTGTAAGATAAAGTCCTAGAAGCAGAATTGCTGGGTCCAAAAATATGTGCACTATAAATTTTGATAGATACTGTCAAAAATGTTCTTCATAGAAGTCATTCGGTTTATACTCTTACCAGCAATGTATGAATGTACCTATTTCCCCAGTGTAGTAGTTTTTAAAATGATACTTTATTGTAATCTTAATTTGCAGTTCTTTTGAGCCAAGATGAGCAATTTCCATGCATTTAAATGCCACTTTTCTTTTTCTATAAACTTGATATCTCTTGCCTATTCATATGAGCTGAAACATATTTATTTTAGGAATATTAGTACAGTAAGGAAATTAGCCATTTACTATAACAGGAGGTGCAAGTATATGGTCTTTTCCCCAGTTTGTTGTCTTATCATTTTGTTAAGTTTTTCTTTCTTATTTTTCTTTTTCTTTTTCTTTTTTTGTAGTACTGGGGAAGGAACCTAGGACCTCATATGTGCTAGATATGTAGTCTACCACTGAGCTACACCCCTCAGCCCCTGATTTTTTTTTCTTGTCCTGCGGATTGAACCAAGGTTCTTTGCATCCCTAACCCTTAAATTTTTTTAAATTTTATTTTGAGATAAAGTCTTGCTAAATTGCTAAATTGCCTAGCCTGGGCTCACACTTGGAATTCTCCTGCCTCAGTCTCCTGCTGAGATTGCAGGCATGTTTCATTAAACATGACTTACTAATTTTTAAATGCTAAAATTTAAAATTCTGTCATCTCTGTGTTTTGTCGCACAGTGTCTGCTAGTCATCTGTTGTTGCATAACAAATTATCCCAAGTCCCAGTGACTTAAGCAATAGCAGCTATCTTACTGTTATCTCCTCTGGTTCTGGGGGTGATGGCTCAGCCAGAGATTCCTGCTCCGGCCCTGCCATGCAGCAGCACTTGGATGTAGCTGGGCTGAGTCACTGGAAGATTCCTCACCCTTACGTCTCATCCTTGATTCTGGCAAGCAGAAGGGTCCTTGGTTGCACTATTGGCCTAAACATCTAAACGTGACCTCTCTGTTGGCTGGATGTCCTCAGAGCCTGGAGACTGAGTTCCAAGTGCAAACCATCTCAAAACACACAAAGTGGAACTTCTGGACTCCTAAAGCCTGAGCTTTCTGCTATTTTCTAGTTCTGTCCTAACCTTCTTTTCCCTTTCCTTTCTCCACCACTGAGCCATATTCCTAGCCAAGATTCTGTTTTTTTTGTGTGTGTGTGTGTGGTTTTTTTTGTTGTTGTTGTTTTTGTACAGAAATCGAACTCAGGTCCTTGTGCTTGTGAGGCAGGCAGCAGAACCACTGAGCTAAATCCCCAGCCCAAGATTCCATTTCTTGATAGGAAGAGTGCTGGGGTCATGTTTTTAAGTTGCCATACATAAAAGTCATTTTGTCATTAAATTTTATTTTTAAAAAATATATTTCATGCTTTTCAACATGACATTTCTATGGTTTAATTTTGAAATCGTGTCCCCCCCCTTTTTTTTTCAGGTAGCTAGTGAGTTGTTTAACACCTTTTATAAAATAATCTACTTTCCCTCCTGATCTGATATTCTACCACTATGATGTGCTAAATTTGGATCTGCCAGGATCTATTTCTAAATTTTACATTCTGATTTGTTAAGCTACCTATCATATGTGCTAGTACCATGCTGGCTAAATTATTATACCTTTATAGTATATTTGTAGTATATTTAATATCTTACACCATTATTTATCAGATGATCTATTCTTCCCTCACAGCCAACTTTATCATATACTAAATTTCTATGTCTCCTATGTCTCTGGACTTAACTTTACTACTCCGTCTGCTCCTTACATTGACAGTAACACCATTTTAAATGATTTAGCCTTAAAATATATTTTAACATAAAGCAGAACAAATCCCTAAGGAAGAAGTGTTGAAAGATGTGAATGCCCGCCCTCCCTCTTCCCGGTAAATTCATCAGTCCTCAGGGTACAGCCCAACTCGCCCCTCAGGAAGCCTTTCCTGAGACACCTGCCCCTGCTGGATTTAAATACTCCTGTCTGGGCGCACAGACCCCTAGGATACCTGGGGTTTGTGGCTTGCACGTCTGTCTCCCCATTGGTTGGTTCTTGAGAACAGGGACCATCTCTTTTTCAACCCCCAGCACACAGCATGTTACCAAGCCTATAGCAAGGATTCCATAAGTATTTGTCCAACAATGAGCAATGACAGCGGGTGTGATGGCACATGACAGTGGCCCAGCTACTTGGGAGACTGAAACAGAAGGATCACTTGCACCCAGGAGTGCAAGGCCAGACTTTGTCTCGTAAAAAATAAAGAATGAGTAATGGAAGGGCATTGCTCAGAGACAAGGAGCACCCAAGGACTGGCCAGCAACTGCCAGTTGAGGCAGTAGAGTGGGAGTGGCAGGCAGGAGAAGTAGCCAAAACTGACATTTGGACCAGACTCCCAGGGCCTGGCATGGTTCCTTGGGGTGTTCGGTCTTTATCCTGAGGCAGGAAGGAGGCATCTGTTAGTTGTACCAGGGAGAGCCAGGCTTCACTGACTTGTAGAAGGATTCACTTACTGAAGAGAGTGTTTTGGCAACAGAGGCTTAGGGCAGAGGTCCAGCTCAAGGCCTGCTTTGTGGGCCCTCTCAAGAGTCGCCATCAGCCTAAACTGATGGGGGCTGGTGGGCAGAATTGTGAGATTGCCTCCCACCCCAGATGGAGGCCCCTGCCTAATCCTTCTCTAGTGTCTGAAATGGGATATCACGCCTGTGATCAGGTGACCCATCGACTGCCTTGGCTCATGGAAGGGAAGGTCATCTGGGTGGCCCTGACCATGTGTGAACTTTAAAAGATGCAGCATCAGAAAGAAGCCCTCTATTGTCCTTGAGGAGGCAAAGGGCAGTTTCTAAGGACCAAGAGCTTCGGTCTTACAAGCACAGAAGTGAATGGTGCCAACCGGTGCTCTTGGAAGAGGACCCAAGTCCCTGGAGAAGGGAGCCTGGCCAGCAGCTAGGCTCAGCTGTGAGAGCCTGGGCAGGCCCCAGACTCCTGACCAGAGCTGGAAGGCACTAAAGGCTTGATTGAAGCCACTAACCCTGTCCGTGGTCACTTTTTATGAAGCCGTGGGTTGTTAAAGTAGCTGCTGGCCCATTTAGAAGCAGCACATCAGGTACCTGTGGCTTGTGTCACTTATGAGGCTTGATGAGGACAAGGCTGCTCAGAGGACCTGCCACCAAAACACAAACTGCCTAGAGATAGCAGGCAAAGCCCCTCTTCTGATCTTTGGTGTCCACACCACAGAATGGGGACAGTCACTCAGCTCTCATTGGGGCTGGTGGGTACTAAGACAGGGCCAGTTCTCAGGGCACTCAGGAAACAGTGATGAAATGGGGTTGCCTTCTATCTTCACCTCTCAGGCCACACCAGGTCCCTGTGCATGTTAGGCGCTGCCCTCCTCCCCTCTCCTGGCTTCACTCCCACAGCTGAGGTGCTTGCCCCTGCTCCCCGCTCCCCTGCTGCAGGTCCTGGACCCCTCCTGCCCTTGGATGAGGTTGCCGAGTGCTTGGGCACTGTGATCCAGGTCGGTCTAGCTGGCAGGTCTGCTCAGCTCGTGTCATCCCGGCGCTACCAGATTCCCGACAGATTCCTAAGACTTGTCCCACCCCTACTTCTGAACACTGGATCTTTCAGGACTTGCACCCACCTGGTGGCCCTGCTGTGTCCTGCCCAGCTGTCCTGGGCTCCTGTGTCACTCCCCTCCCCACTGCTCCCCTTCGGCCCTGGCGAGAGTCCAGCCTTGGCCCCACTGTGAGTCTGCCAGGCTGTTTCAGCCCCCTGACCTGCTCTCCACACCCATTCAGGCACAGAGCAGCTCAGCTTGGGCTTGCGGCCCGGTGACTCCGGAAGATCCAGCGGCCGGCTGGCAGTTGCTGGGGAGGCGGGGAGAGCACAAGCTGCCTCCCAGGCCAGGTGTGGGGCTGCAGAAGGTGACACGGGGAAGAGCGCCCACCAGCACAAGGCGCGTGCAGGTTCCTGTAAATGTCGGTCACATCACACTCCAACCAGCACCACCTGCTCCCAGCGATTGAGTCAACAAACAGGAGCCATGTTACCCCAAC